CATTCCTGACTCCCTGGGCACATCAGGGGACTGCCTGGTGGGCACTTTTCTCCCTTTTTCACAAAACAAGAACTCCTGGGCATTCAATGAAATTAATGAGCATATTGCGAGGGGCTGAGGAGAATGGAAACAGACAACCCCACCAGTTGGGCTGAGCTATATGGAAGGAGCTGGCCGAGAAGGACTTGGCTTGAAAGCTGAGGTGCAGGCTTTTGCTTAAGCAAGATGTACAATACACGGAGCCATTTATTTCTATGAAGAAATCTGAGCACCGCCTTGCTTTTTGCCCCCAAGTTGTATACAAATAGCAAGGAAAAAATGAACACAGAGAAGAAGGGGATTCTGGGTAAATGTGTGTTAATGGTATAACTAAAAACTGCAGAATCTCCATGCTCGGTAAAAAAAACAGGCCACAGTACAGAGCAGCTGAAGGACGTAATGGGGAAGTCTCAACCAGCACAAGAATCTTACGGTAACTCAAGGCCTGTTTCTTTTCTCCTCCCACACAGCCCCCGTTGCATACGATCCTGTTAACATGGAGTAGCGGCCCTCTCCCCCTTCTCGATTTCCCAGACCTGAGCCTTGTGCAACGCCTCAGCTTCCCTGCGGTTCTCCTCCATGACTTGTTCATACTGGTCGCGGATCTCAGCCAGGATTTTCTGCAGGTCGATGCCAGGTACGGAGTCCACCTCCACATTGATGGTGCCCCCCAGCCTTCCCTGGAGAGAGGAGACTTCCTACAGGGCAAAAAGCATGAGGGCTACACGTGAATGGGGACTCCAGCTGAAGATATGATGGGCAGGGGCTAGATAGATACAGACATCAATATCACAATATTATCAGACCTCAGAAGCTAAGCAGGGTCATCCCTGGAAAGTATTTGGGTGGGAGACCTCCAAAGAATACCAGGGCCGGGAGCCACTTCTCTGAATGTCCTCCATGCCCCAGTAGGAGTCACCAGAGGTTACCATGACTTCCAGGCATGGACACACCCCCCCCCCAAAATACCACCACCCCCAATGCCAGGGGTCATGTCCTGCAGGAGCGCACTGGAGCGGAGCTCTGGCAGTAAAGAGCCCAGGGGGCGGGCACATGCAACAAGCCCCACCCCCTGCTCCCAGCAGCCCTCAGTCAGAGCAAGGAGCAGCCAGGTAAGTTGAAAAGCTCCCCCAGGCCTCCTGGTCCAAAACAGTCCAGTGGCACCTTTAAGACCAAGTTTTATTCAGGTACAAGCGCTCCCTCCTCTGCGAGGACAGATCTGCACGTCCCCCCTCCCAATATCTAGCAATCCAAAACATTCCAGTGGAGCTTGAGCGGTGGGTGTTGCCTTCTGACACACTTCCAGTGATGTCAGGGGGTGTGGCATATGCAAATAAGTTATGCTAATGAGTTGTGCTAATGAGCTCCTGCACCTCTTTTTCTACTAAATGACCCTTGCCCAATGCAAAGTTAAACGTTGTTAAATGCAAAGTTAAATGTTTCACAGTCCATTTCCATATGGTTCTAGTGACCACCAAGCTCCGTGGAACAATTCCAAAGCTACACTAACCTACCCCTTGGAAAGCATTTTTGAAATAAAGACATGTTCATCTTTTTTTTGTATATTTTCTTTAGCTTTCCAGTCTTCTGTGTCCCAAATAGCTTGCGCACATAGAAAGGAATTATTTTTAAAACTCTCCAGATGCACATGCCATAACAGTTTATGAAACTGTAGAGAGATGAGAAACAAGGATAAATAAAGCTGATAGCGGTGACAATTCACTGCCTGTAACCAGCCACTTGGTAGGCCCTGTGAGCCAAATTGCCTTGAATTATTAATTAGTCTAGGGGAAGTTATGATTATTAATTGGCAATAGGTCAATTAGGGTTCACACAAATGTATACAGAAGTCTCACCTTTGCTGTAAGCACCAGAACAGACACAGAGACTGTATTCAATTAAATGTAATGTCTTTTTAAAGGTGAAGGTTCCCTTGCTCGAAAGCCAGTCGAATCCGACTCTAGGGTTGCGGTGCTCATCTCCGCTTCAAAGCCAAAGAGCCAGCGCTGTCCGAAGATGTTTCCGTGGTCATGTGGCCGGCATGACTAAACACCAAGGCACACGGAACGCTGTTACCTTCCCACCGAAGTGGTCCCTATTTATCTACTTGCAATTTCTTGCTTTCGAACTGCTAGGTTGGCAGGAGCTGGAACTAGAGACAGGAGCTCACCCTGTTTTGCGGCACCCGGGTCTTGAACCGCTGAACTACTGACCTTCCACAGCCTGCAGTTCAGCGTCTTAACCACTTGAGCCACCACAGCAATGTCTTTTTACTGGGGAATATATATATCATTCAAACAATACACAACCACACACACATTTATTCATATGCTAAGAAATAAAGATAGATATTTAACACAGTTGCTTTAGCAGGACTTCGTTGATTGGGCAATATTTTCCTGTCTTCATTGATTGAGCTGTTCCAATGGAAGAATGGAGGGGTTTAGAAATAGAAAATGGGGAGCACATGCTCTGAACCAGCAGAACCACGTGGACTCTAGCTGCGACTAGAGGTTAAAGATGGAGGTAGGGTATGTGGATAGCAAGATGGACATAAGAGGGTTAAAGCTTCGATAGGGGTCGTGGCGAGGGTAAGAGAGAGACCATGTGGGCGGTCAGCATCTTTTATAACATGGTGTGGGGGGGCAGGCTGAGCTGGCCACATCCCCCTGTGACACCTCCTGTTAGTCCGTCCCATAAAACATACTATTGGCTAGCTGGAAGAGGGGAGGGGAACTAAGGAGTGGTCAATATTGAGAGCTAGAAACTTAGACTGAGGACTGGCACCTGGATGAAGGATGATTGAATCATCAGGCTAGGGCTATTGTCTCTTGATGGCCCTAGCCGTGCTGATGGGTGAGCAATTAGTTGCTATTCAACCATGAATAGAATCTCTTGATTAGATTTGTAGGTAGCTGGAAGAGGGGGGGGGGAGGTTGCCTACATGTGCTGGAAGAAACTCCTAATGGCATCTGGAGTTCTCTGTCCTCATGTTTTCCATGGCATGGCGTCTGAGGCTGTGTACAGGCTTATGGAACTGCTTAATCTCACAGCAGGAAAGATGTCTGATGACTCTGGACTAACACTGTGGCAGCAACACTAAACGAAGGTGTCCCTCTTTTTGGTGTGCAGTCTCAACAGGTATTCCCAGGTCTCCATTTTGTACAGTCCCTTTGCACAGTTCATATTCTATAAAGACATACTGATAGGCTTGCATGGCAACAGCCCCACTGTTTATATTGTCTTCTAAGTGGCAAGGAAAAGGTTCCCGTTCATTAAGTACAGATGTCTGACCAAACGGTACATAGCTAGAAAGTAAGAGGGGGCACCTTGCTCAGTTTCCCAGGCCCTCCAGCACAACTGAGCCCGTTGAATTTTGTATTCGGTAGCCTAAAATAAATGGATATCTGTTATGCTCTCATACTTGTTCGCTCATTTAACTCTACTGTTCCTCCACTTCCATGCCATTCACGGAGACAGTTTAAACCAGGGGTGTCGAACTCATTTGTTATGAGGGCCGGACCTGACATAAATGAGACCTTGTTGGGCCGGGCCATGTGTGTCATAAAATGTAATGCCAGGTAACGGAGATATAAACTTTATAAAGGACACAAACACAAAGGTTTTTTTTAACTTAAAATAAAAACATGTTTAAAACATAAGCACTTTTGCAATATTTTGTTTATTTGACAGTGTCTGATAACTGACCCCTCTTGCTCTGAATTATTGCATCAAAATGTGTGTGCTGTAGCAATCCTGAGTATGTTGTTCAGGTGCGTAATCTGTAAACTGCAAACCTACAATGACACGGCAGCAGCAGAACTGGAAGAAGAAGCAGAAGACAGCCAGTTCCACTGCGGGCTGCATATTTGACACCCCTGGTTTAAATGAAGATTTTTATCTGTTGCCGATTCTCTCTGATTTGCAGTCATACTGAAGGAAAAGTGGTGGCAGCAATCCCCTAGTCCCCTGCATTGAATCAGGAAGGATGAAGGATACTTCTGGCTTTAAAAAATAATGCTCTGCCAAAATCTGTCTGCCCAGAATAGACATGGTCACATTCTACTCCCAAACTGTCCAAGAACCCACAGGATAGGGTTGCCAGATCTTTGTATCATCAGAGCAGAGAAAGGGCTCTTCCACATTCTCATTTTCCTCACTTGTGTACCCCTATTGTTTCGCTTATTTTTTTTCCTTTTCTTTTCAGCATGTGTTTTGCTCCCTCTAGTGGTTGATACGATATTACACCACTGTATGTCCAGCATATTTCCCTGCCATTTTGGAGGGAGAGGGGGGCAGAAAAGAAAACCCCCCGAAGCAATAGGTACACACAAGTGACAAAAATGAGAGTGCAGAAGAGTCTGAGGAATCTGGGAGACAAGGGCTGATACCCAGCAGATTGGGAGGGGAAGCTTGTGGAGGCAGGGACAGAGTCCAGCGGTACCTGGCAGAGGCAGAGGATCACACCAGGTGGATGAAGAGCAAAGCCTGGATACGTCTGATGGCTCATGGGTGCAACCTGAGTGTCATGGTAGCAGGTCCAAAAGCAAAAACTGTCCTCCAGCCAGATACAACACAGTCAGACCCCCTTGATTCTGGGAGTCCCCTCCCAATCAGAGAACTTATTTCTTCTCTTGGAGACCTTGAGAAGAAAGTTAAGTCCCTAAAATGTCAGGTCAGATCCAGAGAACTGGTAAACCTACCCCAGGTGGAGAAAAACTGCAAGCAACTGCTAGCAAAGCAGTGAGCAGCAAGGTACTTCCCATGAGTATCCACCTGACCCACGCATCACTGAGGCTTCCTTCATGCACCTTCTCACCTCCTGGTGGTTGCTCTTCAGAAAAGCCAATTCCTCCTGGAGGTTGTCTACTTGCACCTGCAGACTAGCTTGGCTCATTTTGAACTCCTCCAGCGCCTTGCGCAGGCCGCCAAGGTCCCCCTCCATAGACAGGTGCATGGCCAGCTCCGATTCCAGCCTATGAAAGAGAGGGGACACAAAGCATTCTGGATAACACGTCTCCCCCCACCCAGTTCTCAAAGGTCTGGGAACCAGGTGGTATGTAGGGTAATGATAGTTTTAATGGCAAACTGAGATGCAAGGCAGAAGGCTACCAGCCCTAAAGAGATCTTTCTACTTTTGGTATTTAAAATAACAAAAAGAGGCTTGGAGCACCTTGGAGACTGTACTGTGGCATAAACAGTTGGGAGCCAAGAGCACATTTGGCTCATGGAAGCTTCCGCCATAATAAATGTGCTAGCACTTTCAGGTGCCACAGACTGAGGCTGCTTCCACATGGAGGCGATTCTCTGATGCACACTCCGAGGCATTTGCAGTGGCAACCGGGCATCCACATGGAGGGTATTCTCTTTGTTTTCCCTGCCTGTTTTTCAATCCCATCTCAGCTTCTGGACACCGTACAGATGACACGAAAGCTGGGGACAACCAACACAGTGGAGGAAGGAGCAGGATCATGCCCATTGCCCCCTTCCCATCCCCACTTCTGTGCATCAAAAGAATTTTGACTTCAGGAAGGAGCTGCTGAGTGGGAATCTGTATGCAGATTGGGGAGTGTCCAGGGTTGGCTGGCAGAAGAATGAGATTTCCCCACCCACATTTCTTTGTTCTCACAGGTTCCCTTCTTGAAATATTATATTTATAATCCAAAGGTTAGGGGGGCTGTAACAAAGAGCTCTTACTTCATTCTGAAATCATCCGCAGCCATTTTGGCATGATCAATCTGTACAAGCAGCCCAGCATTTCTCAAGGCTTCTTCTTGGATCTGCAGAAAGAGAGCGAGGAGCCCAGTTTGTCTCAAAATAGCCACTGCACAGGACAATGGACTGGCCAGGAGGATTGGGAGGTCGCCAAGCAGGAGAACTCTCTTGGGCAAATTTGCATGCCAGCACCACAAATAAGCTCCAGTGCCATCTCCTGAAGAACAAGCTTCTATAGCCAGTTTGGTGGAGTGGTTAAGAACGCAGACCCTAATCTGGGAGAACCGGGTTTAATTTCCCACTCCTCCACTTGCAGCTGCTGGTGTGACCTTGGGTCAGTCACAAGTTCTCTCAGAGCTGTTCTCTCAAAAGCAGATTCTGTCAGGGCTCTCTCAGCCCCACCTGCCTCCCAGGCTGTTTGTTGTGGGGAGGGGAAAGGAAAGAAGATTGTAAGCCACTCTGAGACTCCTTTGTATAGTGAAGGGCGGGATATAAATCCAAGCTCTTCTTCTTCAAGCTCTTCTATAGATAGGGTTGCCAAACTCCATGTGGGGTCTGGAGATCTCAAAAAATGACAACTAATCTCCAGACTACCGAGATCAGCTCCCCTGGAGAAAATGGCTGCTTTGGAGGGTGGGCTCTGTGGCACTGGACCCCACGGAGGTCCCTTCCCTCTCTAAACCCCACCGTCCCCTAGGCTTCACTCCCAAATCTCCAGGAATTTCCCAAGCCACGGTTGGCAACCCTGTATGCAAGTAGCCTTTCTTATACCAGCTGTTTGTTGGTCTCTTGCTTTGAATGTTGATGTGGTTTTGCTCACTGGCTGTAAAAGGTTGCTGACTACAAATGCCAGCCTCCAGGTGGGACTGGGAGATCCCCTGGAATCACAGCTCATCCCCAGACTGCAGAGATCGGTTCCCCTGGAGGAAATGGCTGCTTTGGAGGGTGGGCTCTGTGGCATCGTACCCAGCTGGGGTCCCTGTCCTCCCCAGGCTCCACCCCCAAATCTCCAGGCGTTTCCCAACCTGGATCTGGCAACTCTTCCTCCCCCAATTCCCCACCAGTGGCCAGGGAGGACCTGGCAAGCCTATTGCTGACCCCCGCCCTAAATCTTCCCAGGGAGATATTCATTGTGCAGCTTTGTGTGGGCCTCCATCCTGTCTCTATCTGCGGAGGAGGTCCTAAGTGAAAGGAACCGGAATCCAGTGAGACAGAATGGAACAGAAAGTTCAGTCCCTCATGATGAATAATTCTAGTGTCAGGCAATGCTCCCTCTGAGCTGTGGAGTCCTGTGAGCAAAAATCCTACTTTGTGAGCTGCTGGCATTAAAGCTGAGAGTGAGCCATTTGGCTACTGCATCAATTGGTTTGCTCCGGAGCCCTCCTTCCTGAGCTGAGACAAAAAATGGGTGAGCCGGAGGCTAAGAAACGGTGAGGTAGCTCACACTAACTCAGCTTAGAGGGAACACTGGTGTCAGGTGTAGGGTTGCTAGGTCCCTACCTTTTGCCAGCGGGGGGCTCCATGCCCTCTCATGGATGTCCTTGTGCACATACGAAGCGCGCATGGTGCAATTACAGCTCTCAGAAATGACGTCATCACACTAAATACGTCACGGGGGGCACTCTAGCACTTGGTCAAAAACTCTATGTCACCATATAGTTTTTAGCCAAATGCTAGAGCGTCCCCCTCCAACGTGCCAAGCTCGATGATGTCGCTTCTTGGTAATGTCATCGCGCTGAGCACATCAGATACGGTGGGTCTCTTCGGGGGCAGAGCTCCCCCTGTTGGCCAATTGGCCAGCGGCAGATTTGAGGACTCAAAAACGGGGAAGATCCTGCCCCCATCGGGGGGATGGTAACCCTAGTCAGGTGGGTAATCCTGTGGGTCTGCGGTAGAAGAGCAGAATTCAAATCCAGTGGCACCTTAGAGACCAACCAGATTTCCAGGGTATAAGCTTCGGAAAGTCAAAGTCTCCCTTCCTCAGATAACAGATGAAGAATTCTGCTTACCTTCGCCCTCAGCTCACTGGCAGTGTTGAAATACCCACTCAGGTCAGGAAGCCCAGCCAACGCTCGTTTTGCGCAGGCCTCCCAAATGTGTTGTTCCAGCTCTTCGTTAGATTCTTCCAGGGATTTCACCTGACAGTATAGAAGAGAATGTTAAACTGGGTGTAAGGTGATGCAAAGAAGGAAGGTTGTCGCCCTGATACAGCAAAGGACTTCCTTTGCAGTACAATGGTTAAACATGACCACTAGAGGGAGCAGTTGGGAGGGTTTGGAGAAACACCCGTTCCCCTTTTTAAGGGGTATGTGTCGACCCTAATGAATTACTCCAAAATATCCTAAACAGCCATTCTCAGGTCTTGCAAACGGGATTGAATCAATCCATCTCATGCTGGGTCTTCCTTTTTTCCTACTGCTTTCAAATTTTCCCAGCATAATCTTTTCCAGTGACTCTTCTCATAATGTGACCAAAGTACGGTAGCCTCAGTTTAGTCATTTTTACTTCGAGGGAGAGTTCAGGCTTGATTTGATCCAGAACCCATTGGTTTGTCATTTGGGTAGTCCACGGTATCCGTACAACTCTCCTCCAACACCATATTTCAAATGAATCAACTTTCTTCCTGTCAGCTTTCTTCATTCTCCACCTTTCACTCCCACATGTAGTAATAGGCAAGACTATGGCATGAATTATCTTGATCCTTTTTAGTACAAGGTTGCATGTGTGCCTTTTCAAACAGCCAGAGGTGGGAACTACTGGTAAACTGTGGCTGCTGCTAACAGATGCCCTGGCAATCCCTGGTTAGTATTTGCTTGGATGAGAATCGACCAAGGAATACCAGGGTTGCTATGCAGAGGTAGGCAATGGCAAACCGCCTCTGTTCATCTCTTGCCAGTGAAAAAGCTACAGTGTCGCCAGAAGTCAGCTGTGACTTGACGGCATTTCACACACCACAAGACAGACAGAGGAAGAGACGGACTGATCATCTGGCACGCAGGAGCACCATCCACTGGAAAGTTCTCCAGCATGCACCCCATTGAGTTAATTATGTCCATGTTAACCAGTGGTAAGGACTGGGAGGGGCTCATCTGGCTTTTCCATCTCAAGCACTGAAAGGCACCTCTGAAACGTCTTCTGTCCCCAGGGGTCATTTCCTGCAGGAGTGCACAGGAGCGGAGCTCCGGCAGTAAAGAGCCCAGGTGCCAGGTTCCACAGCCAACAACGTAGTACACGCTTATCAGAAAGATTATACTTTATTGAAGAGCCATAGATGCATTAACAAAGGCACTGTTAAGAATGGCGGCACCCCTACAAGCATAATGGGATATAGGGCATTCATATGCACACACACACCCCAGTCATAGGCCAATTAGCCACATTCCCACGTGCGGGAGAAGAAGCTCCAGACCGTTAGAAGCAAGCTGGGAACCGATAGCGCTCCCACAGTTATTCCCTCAGCTCCAGACACTAGACCACCTGCACATCTTAGTGATAACAGCATTACAGCATAGAAGAAGCTCAGAAGGAATGCAGCAGTAATTAGTACACAGAAAAGGGAAGCCGATGGCCTCCTGAACTATCATGGCAGCATAGCTGACACCAGGGGGTGGGCACATACAACAAGCCCCACCCCCTGCTCCCAGCAGCCCCGGGCCACAAAGAGCAAGAAGCAGCCAGATAAGTTGCCGGGCCCCCCCCCCCAGATAGCAATCCAAAAGGCCAAGGTTTATTCAGGTACAAGCTCTCCCTCCTCCGTTAGGGCAGATCTGCACGTTCCCCCCCCCCATAGCTAGCAATCCAAAACAGTCCAGTGGAGCCTGAGCATTCTGACACACTTCCGGTGATGTCAGGGGGTGTGGCATATGCAAATAAGTTATGCTAATAAGTTATGCTAATGAGCTCCTGCACCTCTTTTTCTATGAAATGACCCGTCTGTCTGTCCCTATAATAACTATTGCGTAAGTTTGCACTAAGTAAGCTGGTGGTCACCTGCCAGTGCACATACGCTCTCTAGCCAGAGTAAAAGAGGGACCTTCTGATTCTGTTTCCAAAAGAGGCATGGCTGCTTGTGAAGTTTTTCCTCCATAAACAGGAACGGTATGATGCTGGGCTCTGACCCGGACAGCCCAGTCTCGTCAGATCTCGGAAGCTAAGCAGGGTCGGCTCTGGCAAGTATTTGGATGGGAGACTGTCAAGGAATATCAGGGTCATGACGCGGAGGCAGGCAATAGCAAGCCACCTCTGAACGTCTCTGGCCTTGAAAACCCCACGGGGTCGGCTGTGACTTGATGCCAGATATGTCTGTTGCTGGTCACCCAATAACACTCTGTGAGGCAAAGAACCCCTGAACCCCCCTCTCAAGTAGGGTTTTCAGGTCCATTAGAGACGCCGATGGGGGGTGGGAGATGTTCCGAGGAGCGGAAGCGTCGCCCCCGACATGCCAATGTCATGAGTACTGATGTCACACAGTGTGCCTAAGTCACCCGGATGTGACACAGGCATGTTGGAGGCGACGGTCTGGTTTTTGAGCAAAACTCTATGGTAAAATCGCCCTCAAACCGTAGAGTTTTGCCCCAAAACCAGAGTGTCACCCCTGGCGTGCCCACGTCACTTCTGGGTGACATAGGCAAGTTCCGTGACATTGCTGTGTGTGTGTGGGGGGGGTTTCCTCCCGCCAGCCAGCTGGCCCACAAAACCAGGCAATCCACCGCCCCCAACTGTGGGATGGCAACCCTACCTCAAGGGTTAATGTGAATGCTAATGGGCTGGTTCCGTGCAGGTGTTGCTAACTGCTCTCTCTCTCACATACTCTGCCCTTATCATCTTCAAGGCCAAAGCTGGAGATGTGGTACTTAGCTTCTCAGGAGAACCTGTGGCCCATAGGATGGGAGGGGAGGAATCAGGGGCAATGAGGCAATTTTCTAGAGGCTTCCAGCAAGAACGTGTCCTGACTGGATGTCGTCATCACCTGATGCTGCTTGGCCAAAAACTATAAGTGAGCTTGCAGCCTGGAGAAAACTGAGGCTAGCTTGGATTCTTGATGAACTGAAGGACTGAAGTATCACGTGCTTATATTGCAATAGAGAACAGTGTAGAGAATGCATAAGTTATGGACTTTGACTCTTGGACTTTAGGTCTGTGCCATCTAACACAGGTCTTAAAAAGGTCCTTGTTTTCTTTGCTGTGTGATTTCAGGATGTTGTGTTCCCTGTAGAATAAACATTTTTTTTGTTTTGACAGAAATTAAATAAAACTTCTTATGATTTTTTTAAAATAAAGAAGGGTTTGGTTATAATGCATAATGGACCTGGGGAGTCACGGGGTTCAGTTTTGGACACCTTGACACACTCCTTCCTACACATCAGTAGAATGAACGAAGATGGAGTGACATCCACCCATCCTTGAGCCTTGACTCTTCTCTTTTCCAAAATTAAATGCCAAGAATGCTCCTGTTGCATCCTGCCTTGTATAACCAATCCTACAACAGAGCTGGATGCCAGACAGGTGGGTTGTGTAATGAGAATTCTACAAGGTTCCCCCGACCCGGATAGCCCAGGCAAGCCCAATCTCATCAGATCTTGGAAGCTAAACAGGGCCGACTCCAGCAGGCAATTCAAAGAACGACCTCCAAGGAATACCAGGGCTGGAACACAGAGGCAGGCTAACCAAGTCACCTCTCTGAAAAAACGTCCAAGCCCTCAGTAGGGGTCGCCAGAAGTCACCATGACTTCCAGCCAAGCACACAAAACACACACACAAAATATATTTTTAAAAAAGAATTCTACAAGGCATCAGAAGGTAAACAAGACCCCATCTACTTGTGGGCAATCCAGGTGCATATGCAAGATTCTAAACATTGCAAGTAGAATTTATCGTTTTAGGCTCCGGTCACACGGGCCAGATAATGCGGGGGGGAGGCATGGCTCTTTGCGACGGCGCAATTAGACCCGCCAGAACGCGATCAGATGCGACGGCGGCACACCGTGGTTTCGTTTGTCAGTGCGTGCGCGTCAAGGAGGACAGTCGGGGGAGCCGCGCGCCGGCGCAGTCACACGGAATGATTCCATCAGCAGCCCGTGGCAAACCACTTGCTAGTACATTTGTTGAGATACTTTTTAACTGTACAGCTTCAGTGGCACGTCACGGGTTGGTCACGGGTGCGCTACGCTTGCCAGATGTTGCGGTGTGATCATGCCCTGAAAATCCGCCCAGCAGTCATGGCTCTGTATAGAAATTTTGATTTCTGCTTTCTATAATCCATGCCTTCTCCTGTGATGTCTTTCTGATAACATGCTGTGTCTTATTTCCTCTCGCAAGCCAAATGGCCTGAAAATTTGGCCAGAGAAACTTTATAACCATGCCATATAACCACACATTCTTTCACACCTCTAAGTGGAAGAGGCAGACCTGATGGCTCCTGACTCTGCCACACATGCAAAAAGTCATGCACATCATGGAGAAGCTGGAAGCTGGGTCACCTGACTGCAGGAGGGGCCTCCAAACTTCTAGCCAATCCTATGTTGCAGCTATGACAACCAACAATTGGGCACACCCCTGTCCACTCATGGTTGGCTGGATGGCCACAGCTAATCATTACTAGATTGGGATTTAATTGATTGATCCTGAGGGGAGTGAGCTCTCTTGCTCTTGCACTCTCCCCAGTCAGTGTCTGTTTATTGCACCTGGAAATGCTGCCTCATGAGAGGCAAAGAGTTGCTTTGTGAACTGGAGCACATGGGTGCAAAAATGGGATTTCTCTTCAAAATCCCTTGGTGTCTGTATACCTTGGACACTCTTGGAATATGGACACTTCACTGGTAATTATGAATATCTTTAATGTGTAGTTAAGGCAAACTGCCCTAGCTTTTGTTATTTTGTAATCTCTGGTAGTCTATGCTAATCTCTGTACTGAATAAAAATTATTCTTGTCTCTAAATGGTCTCTGATGTTGTACCTGAGTTCTAAGTCTAAATCTTGTAGCCTAATGCTCACACCACACATCCTACCTTGGTAAGAGTGTGCATCTCTGGGAATGAGTTGCTAATGTGTTAAGTTCCAGATACCAACTGAGAGTTTGAACCTCTAATCTCAGGTTGGGGGGAACTACTGTAGAGATTCTGGTGGCATATTGTTCTGAAAACCAGAGAGGATATAGTCCATCTCGTGGTTTGTTGTTTAATGTACTGAAAAGTACAGGATTCCCTCCCATCTCTGGACTGGCTTGGATGGGCAAGACCTGTACAGGCTCTCCCGTGGCAAATTTGGCGTGTGAACAGGGCCTTGTATGATTATTCCTATTCAGTATTATTTTATCTACAGCTTTCCTTTTTTGGTCCAAGTATCAAATTATTATTTGTTATTTCATTGTATGTAACATGTTAACATTGCAACTTGCATCCATCTGTACCTCAAATTGTTTGACCTCTGAAGAAGGCCCCCCAGGGGCGGAAATGCGTCAGGTCACTTGTATTAGCCCTTTGGTTCAGGTCACTTGTACTTTGTAATGAGGCTTTCATTGGGCCCTTATGGCCCCGGTCACACTGGGGAAAATAGGCGCGGCCAAAGTGCGGCTTTTTTGAGCCGCACCAAAAGAGAAGCGTGGCGGAGGGATCAAAAAGCTCCCCCCAGCCACCGCGCAGTTCCTTCCTGGCATGATCAGATGCCAGGGGGAAGCCACGGACCGCAGAGTGAGGTGAGCCCGCTGCACATGCATGTGCATGCGCAGTTCGGCAGGACCTCGCATACTGCAGGAGAGATGGGCACGCCGGCGATCACACGTCCGCCCCCGCAGCGGATTTTTCGGTAAGTACTAGTGTTTCAAAGGGTTTTTTCTGATCCGCATCTTTAGCTGGAAGAGACAGATTGGGGACGGGTGCATGCCACTTCCCAGATGTTGTGGTGTGATTGCGCCCACTTGATGCGCCCCCGATCCATCCCTCTTGCGGATCAAAGCCTCCTGTGTGACCGGGGCCTATATGTTTTTAACTGTTTTTCTAATAAATACATGTATTTTGCCTATAACAATTATACACTAGGTTTTTAATATTGGCCTTTTATCGGGCTTCTTTCCTACCCTTGTGGTTCTTGCTTCCAGGGGTTGGGTCAAGTTTGTTTCCCCCACCCCGTGACTTACTAGACAAGATTCTAAACCTGAACTGTGGAAAGGGATTTTCAGAAATAGTCAGAAATATTCCTTTCATTTGAATGTGTTTGAAAAGGATTTCAGTTGATGTTATAATATAAATGATATAGCCAAGGTGCTTTGGAGCATGTCAATAACGCTTTCGCCTCATCGCCGAGCATCTTGTGCCCACACCTCACATGGCAGAGTTCCCAGCCCAGAGCCGAGCTGTAACATCTCTCTTTAAAAATTAAGCATTTCTTCATCCCCTTTTCACAGCATTTTGAAAACTCAGACTGAGTCGTTAAAGGCTGAGCTTTTTTAAAAAACACAAACTTCTAAAATGTATCGTGTCTGGTGGTATTCCTGCACGGCCAATAAACCATTGCTGGGATTCACACCAGCCTGTACCTTCTCCCTTTCACTGCTGATACAGGGTTGCCAGGTCCCCTCTACCCACCAGCAGGGGTAGGGGAGGTAGGTTTGCCAGTTCCAGATTAGGAAACTCCTGTAGCTTTGGGGGTGGAGTCTGGGGAGGACAGGGACCTCGGTGGGGTAAAAGGCCACAGAGTCCACCCTCCCAAGCATCCATTTTCTCCAGGGGAACTGATCTCTGTAGTCTGGAGATGAGCTGTAACTCCAGGGGATCCCCAGGTCCCACCTGGAGCCTGGCATCCCTAGACAGGGACCTCAGTGGGGTACAACGCCACAGAGTCCACCAAAGCAGCCATTTTCTCCAGGGGAACCGATCTCTGTAGTCTTGAGATGAGCTGTAATTCCGTGGGATCCCCAGGTCCCACCTGGAGGCTGGCATCTCTACTGCTGGGTTCATTCATCATTCATTCACCATTCAATCACTCACCTTTTCCAGGTAGGCAGCGAGGCGGTCTTTCAAATTCTGCATGGTGCCTTTCTGGTTCATATCCAGGACGCTGGTCTCCTGCCCATATCGCTTCATCAGCCCATCCTTAGGAAGGGACAAGAAGCTACCAGTGATGACCCCACTCCCCCCAAAGACATTTGGCATCGGCTGAGATCTAGCTAAGGCAAGCAGGCTTCCACATCTGGGGCCCTGGACCCCTCCCGAGAGGGAGTGGTTACGGCTTAAGAAAGTAGTCATGGTTCCCCCAGCTGAAGGCAATGCAGAAAGGGAAGTCGGCGATAAAAACTTTGAAGAAATCCCTTATATAGGTGAGCAGAGGGGCAAGGCTCACCCGGCCTGCTCCCCCACTGGGTCATCTCGTTCTCTGTATGGACAGGCAACAAGAAAGGCATTTGTTTTGGAAACTGAGCTCAAAGTAATGTTTTTCTCCCCTCTCCCCTCACCTCTTTCCCCAGGCAAATTCGCAAGGCCATTGCAACATCCACTGATCGGATTTGGACCACAGCCAATTTGTCAGTGCAGGATGGAAGCCCAGATAACCCAGAAGAAATGCCCAGCATACCATTTCCCAACCCGTCCAAACTCCAGGCCATTCCAAGAAGATATGGAAAGCGGATGTAAAAGCTCTGGTGTGTTAGGGTTTTTTTTAAAAAAAAATAATTGCTGATTTGAATCTGTGAGAAGAACAGACAGAAGGAAACAGCTCAAAGAGAAGCAAGGTAGTTTGGTGTATCTTTGCTCTAAACAGAACTATTAGGGCAATAATAATTATTGTATGACATTGTGGGTAGTATAGCCAGGAGAACTCGAAGATTCTCTGGCAGCGGGAAGTTCTAGCTCTTTTAGTGTTATGCACCACTAGGTGGCGAGCTAGACTTGTGTGTTTTTTTGGCTGAGAGAGTTCTGAGGGAACGGTGACTGACCCTAGGTCACCCAGCTGGCTTCATGTGGAGGAGTGGGGAACTAAACTCAGTTCTCCAGATTAGAGTGCCCCTTAACCACTACACCAAGCTGGCTCTCTACTATTAGGGTGTATCTTCATATCTCCATAATGCCACCTGACTAGCCCGGTTTGGCCCAAGCTCATCTAGGGCTTAGGAGTTATATGAACATATGAAGCCTTATACTGAGTCAGACCATCATGGTCAGTGCCATCTACTCAGACTGGCAGTGACTCCCCAAGGTCTCAGGCAGTGGCTCCTCAAGGTTTCACATCACCTCCTACCTAGTCCTTTTTAACTGGAGATACCAGAGACTGGACCTGGGACCTTCTGCATGCCAAGCAGATGCTCTATTACTGAGCCATGGCCCATTCCCAAACAGTTCTGACCTATAGGGCACAACCCACAGAAAAGTTGTCTCCTGTAGATGGTGTAGAAGGTCAGATCTGCCAGTCTCCACATGGGTTTCAGCTATGCTGCCATGAAGGTTGGGGAGTTCGGTCTGTATCTGGTTAATTGCTATTGCTTTCCTTTCAGGTTAATTGCTACTGCATTCCTTTCTGTGCTTTCTCTGCTGTGCACCGAAACGCTTATCTATACAGATGTGCAGGAGGGTGTTGTGGTGTCTGAGGTTTCCCTAGGTGTCGTGGGAGTGTTCATTCTCAGCTTCAGCTACCTAGGTCTCTAAGCCTTATCCCGCACACGGGAGGGTGCCTAATTAGCCAGTGCTGTGGGGGGGGTGCATACGAATACCCTATATCCTATTATGCCCATGAGGCCGCTGCCATTCTTAACAGTGCCTATGTTACTGCATCTATAGCTCTGCAATAAGAGTATAACCGTTCCTGATTGCGTGTACTTCATTGGCTCTGACATTCTGTTAAGAATCCTCCATTCTCTATCTCCGCGCATCTCTCTACAACTGAGATGAGCGACGGAGAGGAGAAACCGATTCCTGAGAAAGACAACTCCGGGGGGGGGTCCCTACTCCTACCACGACCGGTCAGGGGACCCCCACGACCTAGTCGACGTTGCTGGTGACTACCACGCCACCGGTAACTGCAGCTGACGACATCGACCCTGGTGTTTTTGACCCTGACGAGGCCGAGGCGGCCGCCCAGCCAGGGTTATCGACCAAGCTCCAGCTGGAGCCAGTTTTACCCGGACTCTACTGCCAAGACGTATATGCTCACACAGGGGACACTGAGAGGCAGCCGATTCGATCGAGGATTTTCCGGGGTAGGGGGGTTCCCCCCCCTTTGGGTCACCATCCAAGCCATTACCCGGGGCATGGGTGACGGAGAGGACGAAGGTGAGAAGTGGCCGGGTGTTCCCGGAGGAGGGATTGGAACTAGCCCAGCGGATGGAGGTGGCGGATCGAGAGAGACGGCAAATGCAGCGGACACTGGAAGAGGTCATCCAAGCAATCCCACAGCTGGTAATCCAAGCCATCAGGGAGGAGAGGGAGGACCGACCGGCGGTCCCTGCGGGGCCAGTTGCCCCACCGGCCCAACTGCAGCAGCCGCTCCGGCCCGCAGACGCCCCACAACTGGGCCTGCCCGATGTCCCGGTCCCAGCGCCACGTCCTGGCAGCCCACGAGAACGGGCGATACCTCACCTGAAAGACCTCATTGAAGCCACATTTGATGGGAACCTGGAGGAACTCTCCTACTTCGTGGTCCAAGTGATGAAGTTTGTGGAAAGATCAGGCCACCTGTTCCCAGATGACAGCAGCTGAGTAGATGTGGTGGCGGCTTGGCTCCGGGGCCCTGCGGCGGCTTGGTACGTGGGGCTACACAACGCCCAGGGCCCGGAACTAATGAACCTGGACACTTTTATGTGGGTGTTGTGAGCCCAGTTTGAGGACAGGGATGCTGGGCCAAAGGTGAGGGCGTTCCTGCGAACCCTGAAGCAAGGTCAGCGATCGGTGAGGGAATACTCCTCTGAGTTTAAGCTACACATGGCCAAAGTGCAAACTTGGCCTGATCCTGTGTTGGCGGAACTATACAGAGTGTGACTGAATCCCGAAATAAGGGAGACGGTCCTAAGGGCTGTTGACCCAGTATCCCTCCCAGCCTGGATGCAAGAGGCGGAGAGTGTGGAGGCCCGCCTGAACACCCTATGCTTGGACATCGCGACAGCCAGAGGCCGGCCTACAGCCCAAGCGTCGGAGGGGAAACCGACGCTGCAGGCGGAATCATGCCAGGAGCAGCGCATGCAGCAGGGGCTCTGCCTGAAATGTGGGGAGCGGGGCCATTTCACGGCCGACTGTGGCGGAAAACAGGGGCCAAGCGAATCTACGAAGGTGCGCCTGGCCACGCCAGCGAAGAAGCCGTCGGGAAACCCAAAATATGCCAAAGCCCTGCAGGTGGCTCCAGAAGAAGGAGAGGCGGAATCCAGCGGAGACGACCGCAAGGCAGCGGGAAACGGATTGGTCCTGCTGTAAGAGGTGCAGAGCAGCAGGGCCCAATCCCGAAGGCACCAAATGTGGTGAGAAGTTTTCCCTCCTTGTTTTTGTGACTTTGATTTTGATTAACCCCAGCCTCGGAACACATATATGGGTGAGAGCCCTGATTGACTCGGGGTGTGGGAGGGATCTGATCAACCCCTCCCTAGTTACGGGGTTGGAGGCTGGGGCAGTAAAGTTTAAAGATCTCCTGATCTTTACCCAAATGGATGGCTCTACAATAAAAGATCCGTGTGAGTACGAGACTGTGCCGTTGCGAATCGAGGTGGGGGATCACTGGGAGGACAGAGCATTCGTGATCACCTCAACCGCCAGGTTCCCGCTAGTCCTCGGGGGCCCGTGGCTGCACGGTCACGATCCATACATCTTGTGGGACGAAGGGAAGGTACAGTTCATTTCACTGAAATGCTGGGGCCACCGCTGGAACCCGGAATGGGGCCAGCAGCCGATAGCTGAAAGCCCTAGAGTATGTCTAGCTCAGGAGGAACTGCTCGCCATTCCCCCCGAATATCGGGATTTGGCTAGGGTGTTTGAGAAGGAGGCGGATGAACTCCCCCCACATAGACATTCCGACTGTAGCATCAAACTGTTACCGGGGCAGAAACTGCCCAAGGGGCGCGTTTATGCGATGGGACCGGCCGAAAAGGGGGAACTACGCAAGTTCATTGACAAGAACTTAGCCCGCGGGTTCATCCGACTGGCCTCGTCCCCCTACGCGGCCCCGGTACTGTTCCGAAAGAAAAGGGATGGGGGGCTGCGACTCTGCACGGATTACCAGGGTTTAAATGCAGTGTCTTCCACTAATACCTATCCCATGCCATTGATTAAAGACTTGCTCGCTGAAGCAGCAAAAGGGAAAATATTCTCCAAGCTGGACCATCAAGATGCCTACTTTTGGGTGTGCATCAGGGAAGGGGATGAGTATAAAACCGTTTTCAACATCCCCCTAGGCCAGTTCGAGTACCGGGTGATGCCCTTCGGCCTTCAGGGCCCCCCGGAGGTCTTCATGAACCTGATCAATGAAGTGTTGCACAAGCACTTATTCAAGGGGGCGCTTGTTTACCTAGATGATATATTGCTGTACTCCCCGACCTACCTTCACATGTGAAATTAGTGCGAGAGGTCTTAACCATGTTGCACAAGCACAAACTGTTCGCTAAGCTGTCTAAATGTGAATTCCACAAAACACACATTGACTTCTTGGGATATCGGATCTCTGACCGGGGCCTAGAGATGGACCCGGGGAAAGTTTGTGACGTGTTGGGGTGGGGGGTACCCCAAACCAGACGACAGCTCCAATCCTTCCTCGGTTTTGTGAATTTTTACAGAACATTTTTACCCCACTTCGCCCAGGTCAGCTTACCCCTCACAGATCTGCTAAAAACTAAGGGGAGGGGCCCAGAGGCTACTAAACCGAGCGCCACACTGCCATGGAGTAAAGAGTGTCAGGAGGCGTTCGACCGCCTCAAAGCCTTGTTCACCTCAGAACCGGTTCTTGCCCACCCCGATGAAACGAAAATATTTGTTGTGCAAACTGATGCATCTGATGTTGCCATGGGGGGGGGAATTTTACATGAAGGGGGGATGGATTGTTGCATCCATTAGCTTACATGTCAAGGAAGTTCAATGACACGGAACATAACTGGTCAGTATGGGAAAAGGAGACAGGGGCAATAAAGCTCGCCCTATCCACGTGAAGGCATTGGTTGGAGGGGGCGAGGGTCCCATTCGAGGTGTGGACTGATCATAAGAATTTAGAAACTCTTAAAACACCTCGATTCCTCAATGCTAAACAGCTCCGGTGGGCCGATTTCTTTTCCAAGTTTCAA